AAAAATGTTTGCATACGAATTTCGTTCAATGAAGGAAACAGATGACGATGAAAAGAAAAAAGGAAAAGAGAAGGAAGATGATGATAATGTTTATGATAAAGAGAATAATGTTAGAGAAGTGATAGTAAAATACCCTTATTCCGAGCAACCTGCATTAGTCAATTTGAATATTAAAGATACATTATCAACGGTTCGTACGATACTCAAAGATAATGACAAGATCAAAATGAATGGTATTGTTTTATTTTCACGAAAAACTTACGAAGGAAAATTTGCCGAAATAGCACGGAGAAATGAGAATGAATTTGAGTTAAATAAAATTTTTGAAAAATCTGAAAGTCAGAATTGTTCTTCCGACTATACATTACATTTACAATTAAACCTATGTTGGGAGTATCTGAATCATTTGCATGAGTTGGATTATGGATGTTTCATAACAATTGATGGAATAGTGAGAGCCAAGAAGAAAGCTTATAAAATGAAGAACTGTGAATTGAAAGACATTCGTTCTGAAGGGTTTGAAAAAGGGAAATTTGAAATTAAATCAGAAACTGACGAGATAATGAAAAAAAATTTATTTTTCAGTGCCAGTGTAAATGTAAAAGATTTTGTAGAGTTAGCAATATCGAATGAAAAATCAAAAAATGAACAAACCAAATTTCAATCAAATTATTCCTATCATTATACAAAATTTGGAAAAGCATCTTTGGAATTTAATAAGCATTTAGAACCAACACCAGAATTTATTAAAGCGGTGAAAGAAGCCACAAGTTCTAATGATTCAAAAGAATGTTTTAAACGCATTATAACGGATTATGGTCAATTCGTTCCATCTAAAGTTATTTTGGGCGGAAGAGCTTATTTCAAAGAAATATCAACGCATCTAGAACGCTTTAAAGAAGATGCTAATGAAGGTGTTTTAAGTGCAAATATTAGATATATGAAAGGCAAAGCAGGCGAAGGTTCTAAAAGTTCAAATAAGATATCTAATTTACATCGTCTTGAATGCTCAAAATTAATTGGAGGAGATCCTCCTGATCGTTTTGAAAATTTTGAAGAGGAAGCGTGGACTAAATCTCTAAAGCATCATAGCAAATGGAGATGCATAGAATATCAGGATCCTATTGGTATTTTTCAACTTTTACCTTATGATTTGCGTTTAAAAATTATATCGTCTTTAGGAAAAAGGAT